GAAATCTCAATGTTTTTCTTGTTCTATTTTACATAATTGATGTTTTGTGTTACATTTTTTCTTTCTTATTTTGCTACCTCGATGCCACCTGTATTTGTTATTCGTTTTAGGATCTTTCAAATCTGTGTGCATCGGTTATGTTCAACTTTCTTATGGCTCGCATAGAACTTTTCAAATTAGGGTTTGTGTTGAGGGTATTTTGCACACAATTGCGTACATTTGTTAGACATAGGTTGTAGGAGTGAGTTTGTTTCTGTTGGCTTGGGAACTGAAGACTTCGTTCAAGTTTTTAGGAGGGAAAATGGGTGATAATTTAAATTATGTAAGTTTGGGAAACTGTGTGATAATTTAAATTATGTAAGTTTGATTTGTCAATCGCTAGTGTTTAAAATTTTCTTTCTGAAATTGTTGATATTTGATTAATTTGGAAGAACCGTGGAAGAATTTTGTTTGTGGCCTAGGCTTGAAGGGTTAGCTGATGTCACGAGGTCTGATTTTGCTAATGAGACCTTGAAACGAATGCTGCTTTTGCGAGCGATTCTTATTAGAAACTACAGGAACTTTGATATGGCTGCAGTTGTTTATTGATGATGAGGAAGCATTTCAAGTGACTGAACTACATGTAGTGAACTTTGGGATAATATTAGGATAAGTTGCCATTATGCACATTTGCTCTTCAATGGATAATGCGATGATTTTTTTTTCAAAGTTTCAAGTGTTTTTGTTAACTAGGAAAGTGACAAAATAGTCTGCTTATTATTTACATGGGGCCATTTTAATCCGAGAGTTTATAAAAGTGTCAAATTAGTCCCCAAACTCTTTAAATTGAGACTGAAATAGTCCTTTATGGTAATTATTTCAGCCCATATTAAAAGAATCTGAGAACTAAATTGACACTTTTATATTTTGAGACTAAAATGATCCCTGTAAAGAGTTAGGTGACTATTGTAACACTTTTTTCTTTTAATAAAATTGTTTGGATTAGGTTTTTTTTTTTGAAGTTTCAAGAGATGTTTATGGTTTTGATGCTCATCATCACTATCGGTATCCACTGCTATGACCTGATACACGATGCATCTGATGTTTACTTTAATATTTGCGAACCTTTTCGCCTGACTAAACATTTTACTTTAGTGGATCTTTTTGTCTATCTATTCCCTGATTTATGTCACTATAATTCTATCCGCCCTTTTATTCAATGTATCTTCCTCTTTTTGTTTATGTGCCCAAACTACATTATGTTATTTTCATTAAGTATTTGCTTCATAGTGTGCTACCCTCAAACTCAAATATATTCATTTTGCATTCTATTATCAAGTTTTGTGACTTATCAAACTTCTTTGTTACCGAAAACTTTGATCCCTACAACATAATTCTTATTCCTTCTTTATGAATAATTTTTATCTAGTTTTAATTAGAAATTCGTATTGCATATTATATTCTGGTATTTGTTTATTTTGAACACCCGACGTTTTATCTAAATTAAATCCTCATTTAGATCACCCATCTGTGTATGATATGTTAAACTTATCGCCTTTAGGTCTACTTGATCTTTTATTATTATTGGTTGTTATTGCATGACGTTGATTAAAATTTCAAGCTATATAATCATTTTTATTCTATTTATCCCATTTTATAACCAAATCAAGTACTATTGGACCTATGTGTATAAAATGTTTACTGCCTCGTTTTATTTATACATTTCAAAACCAACTTCACCAATTAAGCAATGTCACTTGCCACTAGCAAACATCATGATATCACAATCTTAGGATCTTGCAAATTTAGATTCTTGATGTAGTCCTATGAAGGCTGCAAGTTATTTGGGTTTTCAAAACAACATTTCAATACTAGCACTTTTCTGTTAACATATCTATAATTGATATGAAATTACTTCGACACATCCTTTTCCAACCCATCAAGTCGATTTGATCATATACCTTTTCATGGAGGATGAAAATCATATTTATATCTTTTCTTTACTCTCTATACTTTTGTATAATTTTCAATGATTATGTGGAAGAAATAAACTCCATTTTTAGTTGTTATTGCATAGAACAAATTAATACTTTGATTTGAATATGATTCTTCTTGATCTTTTGTTCCATGATTGTTGCAGTATGGAAGATATGAACAAAAAAATATTTTAGATTATTTTTGCAATATTCTTGTATTTTGAATTACTTCAAGATTTTATTTTTAGTTTCATTATATTTAGGATTTAGGATTATCTTTTTTTTTTAAGTGGATGAGAGTTTTTTATTTGGGGCATTTGGGGCATTTACATTGGGGCATTTACATACATAGCACACAATTTTAATGTATTTACATATCTCACACCTAAACTTTCATATTTACACCCATAGCACTCAAATCTTCAGTATCACAACAAAAATAGCACTACTATCACTTTTTAAAAGTGAAATACACCATTTCATGCGTTTAACTCACCAAAGTGTGCTATTTATGTAAATGTGAGATCTGTAAATACATAAGAATTGTGTCCTAGGTATGTGAATTTCCCTTTTGTTTCTTTAGTTTCCTAGACTTGAATTCAAATTAATATGATTTTTATAAATAGGAGTTTGGGTGAATGTATTATTAATGAAATTTAAAGATTCTCTCTCGTCCCTTTCTCGTCATTGGGTCTTCTCCAACACTCTTCAAGATCCATAACTTTCTTTATATATCTATAGTAGTTTGAAGATAGCTTAAATTTCCCTCTCCTCATGCTCGACTACTCATTTTACCTCCCTTTTTTCATTCAATCTCCCCATAACAATTTCAAGAATTCTTGATATATATATATATTTTCAATTCCAAGGAATAATCCATGATTTCTATCCAATATGTTTTTCGTAAGGCAATAGAATTACAGCATTTTCTCTTCAGGAGAAATCAGACAAATTGAAGATTTTCTAGCAAGGAAGAAAGGAGAATATCATGAAGGCGATCATCAAAAAGTACTCATCATCGAATTGGCATTAAATAATTCTTCCAAGTCGATAACTCTTTCTCCAAAACTTCATTAACTTTTGCTGATTCTGAACGGTTGTTACCATATGGAACTTCCCTCATATTCTTATGTTACGGTACAACAGGGCTGATAAATTATAAAATTAAGCCTTAATAATTATCCAGACAAGTTTATTCAAAGATTCTCTATATATTTGCTTTGTGTTCATTAATTATTTGTGGCAATTAACTCTTAATGGCATAATGATCAACTGACATTCCGTGAACCCTTGGTTTATATTAAGAATAGTGTCAGCGGCTATTCCTGATTATGGTGGTTTAATTATGGGTGACTGGTAAAATCTTCAAGCTTTATGGTATGCTAGGATATAATACATCTATAAACTTCTATCTATTTTTACTTTATTTTTTTAATTTTTTTGAAGTTCAGCAACAGTATTTTTTCCGTTAACTAATTTTATAACTAAGTATCAAATGTTTGTTGCCTTGTAAAACTTTTTCATTTCTGAGAATCATCCATTGCCAACTTAGAATCCCCCTTAGGATGCTGTGGGTACCTGCTTCAAAAATGGGGGTTTTCGGTTCGTTCAGTAAACATAACATCAGAATAGCCTCAATCTTGCATTATTTTTTTAGCACCAATGTTAACGAAAGGAATCAAACCATCAGCTTCAGAATTGGTGCTTTAATGTTTGATTTGCATTTATATTAATGCTGAAAGTACCTCGCTTTCAAGCATAAGATCTTTATGCATGAGTTCTTGTTAGTTTTCATTAAAAAATGGCCCTGTTGATAACTTTACAAAGGAACATATTGCATAAAGCTGCAAGCAATCTCAGCCTTTATGGAAATTGCAATGATCTCATTCCTTCATCTGAAACCGCCAAATTAATCTCAACCTTAACATATAATATTCTCAGCCAAATCTGACAAACTATTGTACAATCTCTTGTCTAAAGTCATTACACTGTAACCTCAATGAATTAATGAGAATTATGATTTCATGTTTCTCAAGCCCTTCTCTCTTCTGTAATTAATATTACTAAATATGTGTTCATGGTATCAGAGCTCAATATGCGTAAGACTCTTTTCTCCAAATGGGATACATTCCCATTCCCTTTTAACTGAAGTTTTTTATTTATACTTTTAAAATGTCATCAATATCCATCAATTTAGAGATAACCATCACATGCGGAGGTAGCAAGCGTAAAATTTATCAAGCTAAGGGATTTGAACGATATTTTGATGATTCTATTACTCAATCTGCAAGACAAGCCACCGATGCCAATGGAACTTAAGTTCCTAGCTCCCAATACCATACCCAGATGCTCATCAACAGAAACTTAGCCCTTAACACTTTTTCTCCACCATCTCCACCATCTCCACCCGTCACTTACCTTATGACCTTAACCCTGACCCACCCCTACATTGAGATGTGTGGACAACCATTGACCATCTCATGTATTTCACCAATTGCTCCCGCATGATCCAATTGAAAATTGAGCTTATTCAATATCTTGGAAGAATCATACCATGATAAAACTTCTTTAGCTATTAAGGTCAAAGTCATTTTTGTTGTTGTTGCTGGAAAAGCTCTTGATTCAATAAATATTGTCCTTTACACCCTCTATGGTCTTATCTCCATGTCTCAAATATTCAAAATAAGAATCCATACCTCCATGAACTTATCTGTTTTTATGATCTCTATTCTCTTTTCAGCAATAAGGAGTTTAATTTCTTTAATGAAGCAACTTGTGAACTCCAGTTTGCCTATGCACTCTATCCTCCACCAACCTAAACTCAAAGTCGTGCTCGATGTTTCCCTCCCAGCCCCAACTGATGCAAGCCTACTTCTGCACCACCAAAAACATGATCACCTTTTTTTGGCGACTCCTAATGGACGTACAAATTTACAATCACATACAATATGTCAGGCTTGTCAAAAACTTTGACTTGAGTCTCTGTATTATTGGCATTGAATGAATTGAAACTATAATATTCCCATCATTAATCCAACCTCTTTGCTACAACTTCATTTGCTGGTGACTAACACTATTATGTGGATTTGGAGTAACTTCTTCGCATCTCACATTTGATCTGACTCAGCACTCTACCACTACGCACAATAGTTGGCAGTTGTAAATAGCCATACTCCTCCCATTCCAAACACCGACCAGGGCATCTTTACCTATTCTCATTGTAAGCTCCTTTATCCGCAATTTCTTCTTTGTGTTCATCATCTTATTGCACAACTCATGTTCAATCTTCTTTGAATGCCACTAGCTATCAAATCAAGGTTCGAGGGTTCAACTAAACAATTACTAGACCCTACTATAACAGCCTTTGCTTGATCCATTTTCTTCCATAGTTCTCTCCACTAACCTACGAAGTTGTTCTGCACCAGGGATGCTTGGCATCGCTGCCTAGTTTATCCCAACTTAATTACTCTACCTAATTTAGCAAAATAAAACCCCCAACTATATGCACTCCCTTTTTTCCTCATTTATGTATATATAATTTTTTTTCATTTAGTCAAGAGTCGCTTACTTTTATAGCATCACCCACCATATGCAGTTTTCACCCTATAGAACTTATACACTTAGATGTATGGAACCTTCCCTAACTCTATCTTATCATGATTTCCAATCTTATGTGTATTTCAACTCCTTTAAAAATTCTTTGTTCCCACAATGGTAGCAAATACACATGCAAAATTGCCGCAACTTCTCTTGTTAAATAAAGAATACTTGACCGATACAATTTCTTATATACTCTTCAAAAAAGTAGTTTTGCTGAGCATAGTCATCACATGATCCAAATGATTTAAACGCAACTTCTTTAAGCCAACTTGACTCACAACTTTTTGGTTAGCATCTCTTCTACTACTACTAAACCTTCTCAATATGAACTCTTACATAACAAATCATTGTTATACTTGTATGTCATAACTTTTGGATGCCTATGCTAATCCTTTGTCAAATTATATTATGTAAACAGACTAGCTCCTAAGTCTTCCTTCTGTATCTTCCTTGGCTATGATCCTTCATTTAAGGACTACACATATTGTAATCTCTTTGCCAACAAATAATATCATTTCTCATTGTGTCCTCTCTCATGAGGATATATTTCCCCACAATAGTCCACCTAAATCCACTCCACATTTTGCACCCTCATTTGACCCTATGCCATTCATTCGGCCCGATATTTGGAGGCCAAATTCTTCGATCACCAATTCGATCCTTCCATCCAATGCCTCGTATATCTTCAGGAAGTACTTCATTCATATCTCCACCTAGTTATATTGTCCCCATCTCCACTCAATGGTCCACATGCTGCCTCTGCTCTCCCTCATTCTTTTCTCACTTTTTGATGTAAACAGTGCCATCCGCACCCTCGTCTCTTTTCTAGGTTCCCATCAGAAATCCCATATTAATTCATCTAAAAATTGGACATCTTAAACTAAAACAAATTTTAAGTTGAGTCATTCTTCTACCTTTTGGATTGATCCTAACTGGTATACTTGGGCCGTTAAAAGTGCAAAATGGTGGAAAGCCACGTCAGTTGAATTTTAAGCCTTTCAAACTTGGGGCATCTGGATCTTCACTTCTCACTTTCCTAATACATAATATTTTTTCCAGTCGCTGAAATGCCCACCATTCAAACTTTTGGCTTTACATTGCTGCCAGCATGTCTCTCAAATTGGTGATTCCAATGCCTTCTTTCTTGGCGAACTTATTGAAACTGTCTACTTATTTAAAAAGCAATATATGATCCCAAAAAGTTCCTTTTAATGGTTTGCCGGATACTCCAGTCACCTACAATAGCTTGATTTTAGGTTAGCATAGCTGATCCTTTCTTATCACCTACAATAGCATGAGCGGAGCCTATAACTATATAAATCTGACTTTCACATAAAGCCGCAATCCACCACAGCCACTGTTGTGATAAAAATGATCTTATATGTTTATATGCAACTACCAGTTTAATCTCTACCTCACCCGAATCCCTGCCAAATTCAGCAAATTGCTTCACAATCTCTTGCATGAATCATTATACTGTTACCTCAATTGATTAATGAGAATTGCTATTTCACATTCCTCCTGCTCTTTCCTCCAATACATTTTTTTTTTGTCAAGTTCTATATATGTCTTCACCCACTTTGCCTGTCATGGTTGTTCTTTATTTGACCATTTAACTGTGGACATTTACAAGCATATCACACAACTCTTATATATTTACATATCTAACACCCAAGCTTTCATATTTACATACAGAACACTCTAATTTTTAATTTCACATAAAAAATGCCACTACTACTACTACTAACTTTTAAAAGTGAACTGCGCTTTTCATTCATAGGTTCATAACACCAAATTCTTATAAATGTAAATATTAAACTTTAAGGTGTTAGATATGTTAAGATACAAAGGGATTGTGTGCTCTGTACGTAAATTTCCCAATTTGTTATAGTATCATTGACCTGTCAATAATATCTTAAATTTGTTTTTTAGTATCTTTTTATCCTTGCACCATTTAATTAGTACTGAAATTGCTATTAACTCACCTGTTCATGTATCATTAATTCTCATAGGTGTTTCAAAACTCAAAATGTTGGCTCCGCCTGGATTTTCAGTGCCGACCAGATCACCTCCTCCCGGGTTTTCTAATCAAGACCGTTTTGACCAGAGTGCCATGGCAAAAGTTACAGGTTTGTGCGCATGAAGCTCCCCCTACTTTCGTTGTTGTGTAGTAGCCAACTAATTTATTTATTATGTTTTCTTAGAGAATTATCTACATGGTAATTCTCTATCTAGGAATCAATATGAAGTTCGTCCAACGGGAAAAAATTCTGTTGATGTGGAATTCATAGACCCAGCAATACTGGCTGTTGGTAAAGGCCATATGCCGATCGGAACCAATATTAACAATTTTGGCTCTGCTTTTCCTGAACGGTTCAGGTCAGAGGATGACCTGATTCATCAGCTACTAACAAAGCGGTCAGCTTCTCATCAAAATATGAGAATTTCTAACCCTGTAATGGAAAATTTTTTTGCTCTTAATGATTCATATCCCACCTCCTATCTCTTCCCACAAAACCATGCGACTTTATCTCCTTCGCTACAATTTTCGCTGCAGCAGCCTCAAAGCTCACCAATCTTAAGTAGCCATTGGGATAGTTGGAATAGTAAGCAATCTAATACTTCTACGGGCATGACGGATACATTGAAGAACGAGTCATTCGGGCTGGATAATTCATGTATTGGCAAGGCTGAATATAGATTTCATATTCCAAGTTCGGGAAATATATACGACAGATCCTTTGGGATATAATAGATGTTTGATGTTTTGCAGCATTATATTTCATAAGCTTTGCTGCAGTATAACTATGGAGTTGATAACTAGAAGCCTCTTGAACACTGAAGAAGTTTTGTCTTTTGAGCAGTTGTCTTCCAAGTTGGATCTTCTGGGCGTGCTTCAAAAATTTGGTCAACCATCATCAGGTAAAACGAGCCTCAATTGGTCTTTTATATCTGTTATTTGTTTTCAACTATTTTAATTGATTTAAAATAACATGTTAGCATAGCAGTTCAAGTTTTGTTTTAGTAAATAAGCTTCTGTTTGATGGTTGAAAGTAATTTCTGTTGTAGCATAAGGAATGTTTTTAAAAAACAGTTTGAAACAGTTCTGAGTTATTTTGTTAAGGTGTATTTCTTTTTTACTAAAATTAGATTTAATAGTTTGTCCTACTAAAATCTCATGATAATATTTTGAAAGATTTTCATGTAGCAAGCTTGCTTTAAATTTCGCCGTACAACTCTTATTTTTTATGGGAATTTGAATAGCTTGTTTGAGAAAATGCAGAAGGTTAACAGACCTCTACACCATCATCACATGCCTTCTTTTATCTTTAAAAATGTTGAAACTGTAATCTTCTTATATTAATTTTGTCTTGAATTACTTCTACTTCTTCTTGTTAGTATGATTACTAATGATTTAAAAGTTCAGATTTGGTGTTGTCACGATAACTCATTACCATTTTTTATTTTATTATAGCACCTGTTTTATTTTTATAATTTCACAGCTTCGGAGGAAGCAAAATTTTTTTCATGGGCTGTATCTTCATCTATTAATTTTTGCGTTCTGAACAGGTTAGGTGGTGGACACATTGTAGAGAATGATATGCAACTAACATGTTATTCCCAATGACAATTTAAAATTGTGCAATGAAAGATACTATGTTGTTCCCTAAATTTTTAATGCCTTGACCTTTGCCATTTATCAAGATGCCTGTTTTGAAGTTCGGAAATTTACGTACATACCACTCAATTATTATGTATTTACATACCTAACACCCAAGTTTGATATTTACACTTCTAACTCCTTGTTGTCATAAACCTATGAATGAAAATGTGTATTTTTATTTTACAAAGTCGTGTCTTTTACTTTTAAAAAGATAATGATTGTGGTATTTTGATGTGATGTTAAAGATTTGAGTGTATTTATGTAACTAAGGGCCTGTTTGGGACCTGCTCTGCGTTTCAGACTGCTGCCATAGCTCTATTTGGGGATCTCAATTCTTGCTGCTTCCTAGAAATTTCTGTGATAGGAAGCTGTTTTTTTAAACCTAACTTGTTAAAGTGTGCTGATATATTAATAACTCCCACCATAACTTTCTAAGAAGTTGTTTGTCTACCACAGCTTTATAAATATCTTTTTAAAAAGTTGCAACCATCTCAAACAGGCCAGAATGTTTAGGCATTATATATGTAAATACATCAGAATTGCGTGATATGTATGTAAATGCCCTTCGAAGTTTTGTGGTTGTCTAGAATTGGAGAACCGGTTTTTGGAGCTGCATTGTCTTTTTTTTTCAAGCTCGTGACAGAATGGGAGATGTCTAATCTCCAAATTTGAGATTGATATGGCTGTTAATGATCTGGAACGAGTTAGTTGGCTGAATTGCATCATTCACTTATTTGATACCTTCTCTTTCCTTAGTGATTGATTATGATATAAATTATTGAGTTGAATAGGCTGAGTGATAGAGTTATAGTTAAGATAAGTACGATTTACATACATGCCACTTAATTTCTTTGTATTTACATGTATAACACCTAAACTTCAATTTCTACATATATACTCACTTACCTATGCGTGAAAAGCTGTATTTCACTTTTTAAAAGCTAATATAATGGCATTGTTGATGTGATATGAAAGCTTTGGGTGGATGTAAATATGAGAAGTTTAGTTTAGATATTAGATATGTAAAATAACATTGGAATTGGGCGGCACGTTAGCGAATTGCCCGAAAGTAGGATCAGAATTTAATTTTGATTAGTGGATTTTGGGAAGAGAAATCAATTACTATAATATATATTGGAAAGTAGGATCAGAATTTAATTTTGGCAAGTCGATTTTCGGAAGAGAAATCAATTACTATAATGTATATTGGATTTGAAAGTGATTTTTATTGTGATTTAAATGGATTTATAGATTTTAATAGGGAGGCTATGAGAGAGTTTATGTTAAGTATCACAAAATGGAGAATACAATGAGGAATGTTATGGTAGATTTCATATCCGCCTATAGTATTGCACCATGAAATACATGCTTTTAGAAAGAGAAGTAATTAGTTTCTTTAGAAATTGGAAGCATAAATCAAAAAATCGCCTCTTTTTTTGTAAAAAAAATCATCTTTTAAGATTTTAAGGTAATTTCAGAATAATATATGACCTCTTAGCTTAGAATTGCAGTTATGGATTAAAATTTTTGTAGCATAAAGAAAGTGATCAGAAGAATTAACTTTTTTGGAATAGGGTGATAGAACTGCAAATATGAGATTTAATTAGTCTTTCAAGCTAACACCAGTAAGAGAGGTCAATTGGATATCTTTAGTTTAGCTAATATCTAATTGGAAGATTGCTGTATAAATTTTAGGTGAGTCTAAAAATAAATTGTACTTTAATAAGAAGACTTGGTAATTGAGTGAAGTTTCATAAAATGTTATTAATGGTAAAATGCGATTTTAAATATTGTGAAAATATGAATATTATTGAGGTTTACAATGATAATAAGAAAATTAGAAGTTTCGCAAAGAGGATAGTGGGTAAAGCAAAAGATATAGCTTCTAATGATGTATATACTTGGTATTAAAAGAGTAAATGAAAATGTAAAATACCCAAAACATACTATAAGAGATTTAAAAATCTTGTTGCTTTTAGATTTATTAGATCTCCATAAATATGAAGACGTTAGAAAAATATGGGATTGCTATTTTGATAAACTACTAAATTGTAGTTTTAAATAAGAAATTATTTTGAATGAGCAAATTGATTAAAATAATTATGGACATTGCAGATTTGTCAAATAAAAAAAAAAGCAAGTTTTCGTTGAAGAAGATTTAATTAAGGCGAAGTTGTATCAGATGAGATGTCTATTGAGATTTGGAGTATGGCTAATGTTGCGATGAAGATAATGATCAAATCAAATAATGTGGCCTAAAATTTTATATTTTTGTTTAAATTTGTTTTCATCTACAAGCAACCAAACAGACCCTAAAAATGCTTATGGGGCGTGGTTAATACCTTCTTTTTTTGCCATCTTTACTTCTTGAAAATTTTAAGTCTATAAGCTTTCTGATTGCAAGCTAACGGAGGCCTTGCGCCACCACTCAATTGCTATGTATTTTTATATCTTAACCCCTAAACTTTGATTTTTCTATTTAGAACATTTTACCTATATATGAAAAGGCGACTCACTATTAAAAAAGTTGTTAATAACGACATTTTTTGATGTAATATTGAAGTTTGAAGTGTTAGAAATGTAAAAATCAAACTTTAGCTGTGAAATTAGCGTTTGTAGGTCTTTCTTGATATGACATTTTTTTGCTTTTCCAATTTATTTTTGAAATTTGTTTTATTTTTTCTTCTTAGCTTCAGAACCACAGAAGATGAAACTATCTAGGCGCATTGATCTGAAGGTGAGAAATTGTGCAGCTTTATGCGTGGGGTGCTTTGGTTTTTTTCCTTTTATGCTGCTTTGTTTGGGAAGAAGCTTCAAAACCGCAGTGGGTAACAAAAACTCCATTTGCTTTGTATTTTTGGGTCACAAAACTTTGGTTTCTTTCGTTGCAGATTTCTTCCCTTTCTTATAGTAAGCTCCCTTTAAACATTTCTATATGAAATAAAATTAATTTTGATTTATATTGGTCATTTTCTAATGATTAATGTATGTATGTGTGTCTGAATTTGAATTGTGATGAGCATAGCACTTCTTGTTATCTTCATTTGCCTACTTCTGAGTAATCAATACCCCCCCTATTGAAAACTGTGTGAAAGCTGCAGTGTGTCTATTTTATTCGTTGGGAAATTTATACACCGACCACACAATTCTCTTGTAATTTGTATTTACATTATCTAACACTAAAGTTTGTTATTTACATTTATAATACTTTGGTGTCGTAACATAAACAATTTTACTTCACTTTTAAAAAGTTAGTAGTGGCATTTTTTGTCAAGTCTGGAATGTGCTATAAACATCAAATTGGCGAGCTGTTCGCTTTCGGATCACACCATCCTATGGCTAGTCTAGCATGATTTTTGCTTCTTTACATTTGTACCACAATTTTTATGGTTTTTTACATTTTACATCTCAAATTTTTCATGACTTGATATTAAAAATTATATACGAAATGGTATAGAAGTTGATGATAGGAGTTTTTTTTGGGTGTGATGTCAAATATTCGAGTGATAATATGTAAATATGAAACTTTAGATATTAGATATTTAAATATATAAGAATTGTGTGACATGTACATGTTTAAATATACTACTACCATCATCACCATTGCTGCACCAAATTCCTCACTACAGTAAACTTATATTTTATTTAATACAACAATAAAAAAAGCCTTAATCCCACTACGTGGGTTCCGATGCTTTAATCCTCTTTCTCCATTGCGTTCTATTTAGTGTTATAAATTAAGATCTTTTTTTATACAATAAGTTCAAGTCTTTCTAGGTCTATCTTTGCCTTTCTTAACATAAGTCAAATCTAAAACATATACTCTCCCGATTGGGTCATCTGATGGTCGACGTTTAATGTGACCAAACCATCTAAGACGACTCTCTTTAAATTTGTTCATCACTAAAGCTACACCAACCCTATCATGAAGATATGCATTTCACATTTTGTTAAGTGTAAGCCACTCATCCACCTAGTCATCCTCATCTCAACAACACTTAACTTAGTATTATGCTTTCCTTTTAAAGGCCAGCATTTAACGCCATAGAGCATTGTAGTTTTCACCACCGTCTTATAAAATTTTCCTTTTCTACTATTAACATCTCCATATATATCACTATCACATTGAACAACAGACCTGAGATATCTAAATCGTTCACACCTTTTTGTAGTTTGATCACCTAAAGTTACACTTATGTCACTAGAGCTACTACTACTAAAATTACATTCCATGTATTCAGTTTTAGTTCTACTCAAATGAAGTTCTTTAAACTCTATGTAGACCTCCATCATTCAAGTTTTTTCTGGGTTTTTTCTCTCGTCTTATCCACGAGAAGGCTATCATCAACAAAATGCATACACCAAGGTACGTGTCCTATAAGACCATCCATAACTAAAGCAATAATATATGGGCTTAATGCTGATCGCTGATGTAATCCAACAGAAATGGGAAAATAATTGGTCAATCCCCCTTCAGTTCAAACGCAAGAAACAACTCTAGTATACATATCTTTAATGACTTGAATATAAGTCATATTAACACTAAGTATATAAGTCATATTAACACATTTCTTCTCTAGAACTCTCCAAAGGATATCTCTTGGAACCTTATCGTAAGCTTTTTCTAAATCAATAAAAATCGAATGTAGATTCTCGTTATTATTTCTGAACTCTACATCAAACCTCTCAATAAATGTACAACTTCCATAGTAGACTTGTTTGACATAAATTCAAATTGATTATGAGAAATCTCTTTATACGTCACCTATGTTCAATTACCCTCTCCCATTATTTTAAATTATGACACATCAACTTACTCCCTCTATAATTTGCACACTCTTGTGCATTGTCTTTATTCTTAAAAATGGGATCAAAATACTCTTCCTCCACTCCTCAGACATCTTTTATTTTTAAAATAATATTAAAGAGTTTAGTAAGCCAAGAAACTCCCACTTCTAAAAATTTTCACACTTCAATTGGGATATCATCATGTCCTACAGACTTTCTACCCTTGGTTTTCTTTAAAGCTTATTCAACTTCTTTTTTACTAATGAGACGATAAAAATGAAACATTTTTTTTACGATTAATGAAATTAAGATCACTAAGGTCGATTGTATTTTTAGAAATTTCATTAAAAAGTTTATTGATAGTATTTTCAGAAACTTCATTAAAAATTTATCAAAATAGTGCACCCATCTATGTTGAATATCTTTTTTTAAGAAAAATGCTTTTTAATTTTCATCATTAGTTAAATCTTTATTTTTCTTTTCTCTTTATTTGGCTAGTTTATACATATATTTGTCACTTTCCTTAGTATCTAATTTGTTATAAAGATCACTAAAAAATAAAATTTTTAGAGACAGATTGTTCTTTTTAACATTTTGTGGGTCGTTTGATCTTTTTTTTTAATTCTTTAAGCTTTTACATTTAAACCAATTTTTATAACATATATTCTTTAATTTTATTTAATAAAAAATAAAATTTTGTATTTAATATATCAAATAAATATTTAAATTTATCTCAAATCAGTCATATTTAGATTAGCTACCTCGAATGATTAAGAGATTATTTGGTATCATTTTTACTTTATTTATTTTTTATTTTTTTTAGTTTATTGATTTTAAGCAAAAATATGTTATGCTAAAAACAATAAAAAACATGTACAAAACATACCAAATAATTATATTAAAAAAAGAAAGAAAAAAGAACATGAATGATCACAAACCATCTTTCACTAAATTTAAAATCAGTTAAATCTAATTGAATCTGCGGGTTGAATTTGATTTATTGTTCAGGAATATAATTTCTTATAAATCTTTGTCTTCATTCCAATTAAAAACTGTTTGGTTAAATGTAGTCGTGTCAGTGCCTAGGGCTGTAAACGAGCCGAGCTTGAGCGAGTTCAGACTTGGCTCGTGTGCTCGTTCGAAATAGCTCGTGTTCGAAATCGGCTCGTGTTCGAAATCGGCTTGTGAACAGTGTGTTCGTGTTCCACTCGATTTAAATATTCGTGTTCGTGTTCGGCTCGAAATTGGCTCGTTAAACTAAAATTGAGAAAAATAGATGTCAAGTGTGGGATTCGAACCTGGATCAAATCTATACAAAAGAAGACACTAATCACATTGTCACATGAGGTGTTATGATTTAAACTTAGAAATAAATATATATAATCATTTCGAGCTTAAAAATTTGTTCGTGTTCGGCTCGTTAGGCTTAACGAACGAGCCGAACACGAGCTACTTAACGAGCCGAACACGAGCTATTCACGAACAACGAGCCAAATTGACAGCCCTAATTATAAATGGCTTCCAACAATTTATTTCAGCAATTTGGTCTGAGATGGTGATATAGTATTGATTGTGGCGAGCAACAAAGCACATGAATGAGCATCTGTTATTAGAAGAACAAACATAAAATATTAGGCTAATTTAAGCACTGTTTCTTTGGGGGTCACCTTGTTCAAAATGTGCTGCTATATAAACATGAAGTGAATGCTATAAAGTGGCGCTCAAATTTGTAGTTCAAATTAGAGTGAACAATTAAAAGAGACGATATATAATGTATAGTAAGTTGAGTGTCATGTAATAAAAGTATATTTGTTATAGGTAGTGGTGACTCATTTAAGTCCTTGTTGGAACTAGCACATGATGGTCTTTATATTATTACAGGGAAGTTAATGATTACTGACTGAAAAATCAGCTGGTAGTTAGTGATTTTTAGTGGGTGAATTAGATTACTGATTGATTTGTGAATGATTTTTATTAGCCAATAAACCTTGGTCACGAAAGACAATGGTTGAATAATTCAGCAGGCAAAGGTTTTGTGACTGGTTTATAAGTCGCTAAGCTTTATCAACAGAGTAACGACTGAATATTCAGCTGCTAAAATCATTCTGGCAGAAGATGTCGGTCGCTAAACTTGTAGCAGAATAACAAATGACTTTTCAACTGAAAATCAACAACTGGATGATCGACCGATCAGGGGCCAGATCTTCACTAATTTAACAGACAATGTATCAACCGTTAATCTACCGACACATTAGAACGGAAAAAGAAAATTTAATAGGGTCTTTTAATAAATGAAATTTTTTCGCACCTGTAACTACAAAATAAAATAATTAAGATTCATATTCACAATATCTCATAACATCGTAAGTAAAAGTAACGAAATTGAATAAAAACATAGTAATCATAACAAATGTCAATAAATCATCCAATAGAATAATGTTCATAACATAAATGAAATAGTTCTAGACACATAAAAAAATGAAAAACTATTCGTGCCTCTTCACATTGTCCTCTTGCTCAACGTCGTCGATCATAGGTCGATTGCCACAACGATGTGTTAGATGCTTTAGCTATGTATGGTTGCCTAGAGCCTCTGGACACTATCCTTCCTTGTTTCCTCAATCTCTTTCACCCTGAATTCCAGCTAACATACAATATCATCATTGTTCTACAACTCCTCAGTTAATGCAACCACAAACTTGAAGTTTTCGTCATCAATCGTTGATTATCTCCAGCCAGAACTAGAGTTTTGTGCATCATATATAAATTTATGTGCTCTAAAGCCATAGATCATCCCCTTCTTCTTCTTCTAGTAGTTTCCTTCCAAATCTCAAAGTCAAAATGATCACTAAAGCTACTATCATTTATTGGGCTCCGACTCCAAGACTCTTTTAGGCACTAATAATTGTCCTACAAAAAATAATTAGTATCGATATATGATTTTAGATAAATTATAAAAATAAACCAAAACTTATTAAACTTATGTGAATATGGTGAGATATGCCATCTACCCATTGGTCGTCCGCCCGATGCTGATGTGTACGTGTGTGGAACTGAACGACAGTGGACTCTAGGCTTAGCTCCAATTTCTGTTAACATATGTAAAGGTTATGAAATAAATAGTTATACTAATCAATTCAATATAAGGCATACATCTTAATTGCCTCATCATGTTCTTGGTATGGGAAATTGAGCCACCAATGTGTAAGAAGACACCTATGACCCCACACTATGATGCCCACTTCTACTGGGTCATCTCCCTTGTCCTATCATACACATGACATGACCACGCTCTCGTCAGCTCAGCCCAAACATCCTC